AAAGCCCCGTCAAGAGGATTCACAGCCGCCCTCGACGAGGTTCCCGAGAGGCTTCCCACAAAGTACCAACGAACGCCCAAGAGGTCTCTGACAAACAACTCAGGCACGGTGGCGGGATGGTCGAAAGGCTTTTTTTTTTTTTTTTTTTTTTTTTTTTTTTTTTTTTTTTCTCTCTCTCTCTCTCTCTCTCTCTCTCTCTCTCTTTGTATATATATATATAGACATGTTACACCAGAGAAAACCCCAATCAGTGGATGGCTCTCGCTGGTCCTATACGATTGACCAGGAACCCGGGAGCCCGGGAACCCATAACCCACCGAAATCGGGTCGGAACCAAAAACCAGGAACAGGGGAACCTGGAACCCGGAACCGGGAACCCGGGAACCCAGCGTGCGACCAAGATTGGCGGGACAATGTCGCCGAATTTTTCAACCTCCGCTAGGACCCCTTCAGTGCAAGCACTGATTGGGGAATATATATATATATATATGTAATTGTATATATATATGTATATGTGTATATCTATATATAAATCCATATATATATATATGTACATATATATAATATCCTAGAACCATCTCGCGCGGGCTTCGCTCGCGCTCAGATTCTAGCCTAGGCCAGAGGGGCGCTGGGAGATCTTGGACAGCGCTATCAAGCACAAGCGCGTGAAGTCGTGCCTTCTGAGGACCTGTTGGGAACCTGTGGGGGCATCTGAAGGGCTTCTGGGGAATTTGCCGTGCTTCCTCAAGTGGCTGTTGGAGGCACATCTTGGGTGCTTCTTGGGGGGCGTCTTGGGGCCTCGTGGGGTTCCTTGGGGCATCGTCGAGGTTCTCTGGGCAATCGGAAGGTGATGCTCTGCAATCTGAAACCGTCATTGGCAGTCTTGGCTGCGTGGAGGCCCGACTTGAAGCCACCTGGGGCCACATTGAGGCAATCCGGAAGCCTCTGGGTGCTTCCTGGAGGCAGTTTTGATGCATAGAGGACACTGTTCAGGTATCTTAGGGGCCCCTTGTACGTCTTCTGGGGGCCTTTCGGGGCCTCTTGGGAGGCTTTTGGGGGCCTCGTCGGCGACCTCCTGACAACAAGACACGACAGTCGGCGGCCCGCCGAGGAGGGAAGTGGAAGGGGGCAAGCCTTCTCAGAAGGCGCCGGGGCTTCGGAGAAGGCTCAGAAAGTTTTTCCGAAGGTTGGAGGCCTTCTGAGCCTTCGGAGATGGCCAGGGCGTAAGAGACGGGGGTCAGGGAGAACGGAGGTCAGTCAGAGCGCCGGATCTTGCAGGCTCCTGCAGGGCCAGGGGTGCACTGACCCAGGCCTGGGTGTGCAGGATCCTGCAGGATCCCGCAGGATCTTGCAGGACCCTGCAAAGCTTGACTGACCAAGGTCCGGATTGACCCAGGTCAGTAGATCCCCGATGGGGGAAGGCCCGCCCATCCGCCTTCCCCCCTCGGCGCCCACTGGTCGCGCGGCGCAGAGAAGCGCTGGCTCATCGGTGATGTGCCAACGCTCCGAGGCCGAAGCATACCTCTCCTCTCCCTGGCTTCCCTGTTTCTCCACCCCCAGGACACTGGCGCGAGTGACGTGGCCACTCAGGGGGATGTCGACGAGGACGAGGGCCTGTGGGAGCTCAGCTCCACGGCCTCGCCGGAAGGCTGCTCCGAGCTCGGCGATGATGCCGACCGGCCTGTGCCCGCCGAGGCGCAGAGCGACGCGGCGCAGATGTTGCGCCTCAAGGGCGCCGCGGTGCAGGCCCTCGAGCGCGGCATCCAGTCTGGCGCCCTCGAGTGGGCCATGGAGCAGATCCGGAAGAAGCGCGCCGCCTCCGCGGCCGACGAGGGCTGCTGCGGCCTCCGCCGCCTCAAGATGCGGGTGGCGTCGACGCTGCTGGCGGGGAGCGCCGAGGGCACCCTGCGCGCTGCGCTGGAGGCCTGCTGCCCGCGCCCGGAGCCGCGCGCGACCCGGAGGCAGAGCCCGGCGCAGTCGGCACCGACGGGCCCCCGCGCGAGCAGGACCCTCGCGCTGGAGCTGGCGCAGGAGCTGGGGCCCCGCGCGCCCCAGGCAGGCCCAGCCGGGCAGGAGCCCGTCGGCGCCGCGCCGTCGCTGGAGCCCGCTCAACTGGGCTCGGTGCTCTCCAGGGCACGCCAGGGCCTCTCCAGGGCGCTCGAGTCGGGGCTCCTCGCCCAGGCGGTCGCGGCGCTGCACCAGCCACCGCCCGCTCCAGGAGCGGCGGCCGAGTCCTCGCGCCCTTCGCCTCCGGCATCGCCGATTCGCGGGTCGCGCGTGATCATCTAGGGGAGCAAACAGTGACAGACACATCAAACAACTCGGAGGTCCTCCCCGCAGAAGCCCCCGGCGGGACCTCTGGCGCCGCCCCTGGCGCGCGGAGCGCGCCAGGGAGGGGTGTCCAGCGCTGATCCGAGGAATCCCGGCGGATTTTCATGTTTCTGTCACTTTTTGTTCCCCTATCATCGGCGCGGCTCGCCCTGGCAGCCGCGCCAGCGCCTCGGAGGCCCCCAAGCAGGCCGCGAGCAAGAGGAGCCCCGGGCTCGTCCGCGGCCAGGTCCTCTCGAGGAGCGGCCCGACGCTCGGGCTGGCCCCGCCGAGCCCGAGGCGCGTGCGCTCTCCCGCCGGCTGGTCCTCGGTGGAGGTGGTGCTGCCTTCAGTTGCAAGCCGGATCGATGCGTGGCAGGCTCCGAGAAAGAAAGCTGCACAAGCACACATCAGGAGGGGAAAAAACACAGACACAATTAATCGTCGATTCCCAGGAAAATATGGGAAAATATGGGAAGTGGGGGGGAAGACAAAAACCCAGAAAATATGGGGAAATATGGGGAATAATTTGATTTGTGTGTATCTATTTGTGTGTCCTTGGGCCCCTTCAACACAGCCGGCCCAGATCAGTGGGTCGACCCTGCCAAATCAAGGGTACCCTTGCGTCCTGTGTCTCGCGACCCGTGCTTTTCCTGCATTCCTGTGGCAATGTGGCCCTCGGAAGGGTCTCGTGTCCTCTCGCGTGGCCTGTCCAATCGAGTCCGACTGTAGATCTTACGAGCTCTTCGCGGATTTCTTGCATCGACGCTGGGCCCCCCCCCTGGCGGCGCCTCCGGCGCCGCCCCTGGCGCGCTCCGCGCGCCTGGGAGGGGGGTCCAGGGCGGATTCGAGAAATCCGCGCGGACCTCCGAAGTTTTATGTTGATGAAGCTTCTTGTTCTCTCGAGGCAGGGTTGGCGACAGCGGGCGCTGCCCACGGCGCGCCCGCCATGACGATGGACCTGGGGGCCGCGGTGTCGGCGGGCGCGCCGGTGCCGCCGGGTGCCCCCCCGCGTGCCGTGGTCGGCGTGAGGGCGCTGGCAAGGTCGGCCACGCGCAGAGGGGGGCAGGTGGAGGGGGGGAGGCTTCTCAGAACCGCCCCTGCTTCTTAGAATCGGGCGAAGAGAACTATGCACATGCACCGATCCTGGCGAGGCCCATCCTTGACCCAGGATCGGTGCATATGCCCTCCTGGCCAAGGTAGGGGGGCGTATGCACCGATCCTGGGCTCAGGATGGGCCTGGCCAGAATCGGTGCATGTGCATAGTTCTTTTTCCTCTATTAGAAGGCGCGGGCCTTGTCCAGAGATGCAGGGCTGGCACCTTCTGAGAGGCAGCCTCCCTCTCGGAAGCCTCTCCCTCCCCCCTCCCCCTGCCCCCCTTTGTGCGCGCTGCCAGCAAGGGCTGCCTCCGAGGGGTCGCTCGGCTCTCCCGGCTGCTTCGTGGGCCCGCGCAGCCTCGAGAGCTTCTGCCCTCCAGGGCCGCCCGTCGCCTACTCCAGGAATCGAAGGGGGGATCGATTTCAGAGTTGAAGTACCCCAGAATTGATTTGCTCGTCGAGTCTACGGAAACATGTAGAAAGCGCAGTGGATCTACGGAAGGATCTACGCATTGCTCGTGGACTCGACGGGCAAATCAGTGTTTGGCGACATCAATCTTGTAGTCGATTCCCTACTCGCAGGAAGAGGGTGCCCATGGGCGCCCTGCCCCCGTTGTCCGGCCACCGGCTGTCGGAGGAGGAAAAGGTACCCACACCGCTACCCTTCCTTCGTTCTATTGTTTGGGTCGTCTGGGCGGCCCTCGTCGCCACCGCTGGATTCGCCTCGAAATCCTGGTCAGACCTCACCCCCGGAGATGTCGAGGGAGTAGGAGAATCTCTTGGCATCGCTCGGACGTGTGCATTTGTCCTTCGGCGAGGACCATCCAGGAGCATCCTGGATCATTTGGCGAGGTCGGGGGAGGTCAGCAGAAGCTCTACCTCTTGGCTTCCCCAGGCTGGGCCTGCCGCACGGCCCGGTGGCCGGGCTGAGGTCCGCGGTTTTGGTCGCACCGTAGTGGGGGGTGGGTGATCCAGGCCTCCCAAGTGCCTTGGCGCCTCCTCCTCCACCTCCTCCTCCTCCTCCTCCTCCTCCTCCTCCTCCTCCTCCCCCTCCTCCCCTCCTCCCCCTCCTCCTCCTCCCCCTCCTCCTCCTCCCCTCCTCCCCCTCCTCCTCCTCCTCCTCCTCCTCCTCCTCCTCCTCCTCCTCCTCCTCCTCCTCCTCCTCCTCCTCCTCCTCCTCCTCCTCCCCCTCCCCCTCCTCCTCCTCCCCCTCCTCCTCCTCCTCCTCCTCCCCCTCCTCCTCCGCGCAGGTGGTGTCGGATGATCGCGCCGCATCGCCGATGCATCGCTGATGCGGCTCGATGCGGAGCCCGATTTTCTCCATGCCGGCGTCGCCGAGGCATCGGCGATGCGGTGCGATCTTGCGACCCATGAGGCCTCTGGGGAGCGGGCCGAAGGAGAAGAGACTGCATAGACATAGACTTTCGGAGCTCCGCGCGGATGGCTCGGATCTGCGCTTGGCCTCCCGGCCTGGCGCGCTGCGCACGCGAGGGGGTGGGGTACAGCGCCGACCTGGGAGATACGCGCGGACCCTCGAAAGTTGACGTTCATGGCGGCTTGTCTCATTCTGGCGGTGAGGCTGGGGACTCAGGGTCG